CGTGTTGGGATTACAGATGAAAGTAGTCTCCTTATCAAAGCATTGCTTAACACAGATCAGATGGTCCCACAAAATTCGCTGTTTCGGGATGACTTATTCCAGACAACCTGCGAAAAGATCCAAGGCAAGAATGAATCTAGAATTATTCGAGATATCGGACAACTGATCGTGCCATCTGCGGAAACTCTAGCGACGTATGGTGCCACCAATCTAGAGCACTTAGTTGAAACTGTGAATGAAGGCTGGAACAAAAGCATCCCTTTTCACGGTCCTCGCCCGCAGCCTGATTACTCAGTGGGTTTCAGGCGGTCTGCATTCACAGATGATCAATATGAGAAGCTGAAGCCCTTCATCGGTGATTGGGACGATACTTCCGTTTTTATGGCTACAGACACAATGCATTTTCCCTTCCTGACATGTGAGGTAACATGTGGTGAGGTGGCACTTGATATTATAGACCGACAAAATGCCCACAGCATGACTCTTTCAGTGAGAGGTGTGGTGGAACTGTATAGAGCTGTAAAGCGTGAAAATGAACTCCACCGGGAAATCCTCGCCTTTTCGATATCCCACGATCATACAGCAGTGAGAATCTACGGCCATTACGCTCTGGTTGACAATGATAAGATTACATTTTACCGACATGAGATTCACAGCTTTTCCATTTCTGCTCTAGATGGCAAGGAGAAGTGGACAGCATACAGGTTTACAAAGAATGTCTACGATATATGGATGCCGACTCACCTTAAAAGAATTTGTTCAGCAATCGACCAGATACCCTCTGACCTTGATTTTGGTGTCTTGCAGTCGGACCTTCAGTTCCCTTCAACTTCCGAGTCTTTTAACAAAAACGACTCTCAGTCAGGTCAGGTGGACGTTATTGGTTCAGCAGATGTTACGCCGACTACCTCATTCACTCAACAAACCGACCATTCATTTAAAAAGCCAAGGAGGAAGTAGTAGCAGCGGGAAGGGTCTATTGGAACAGGTGTGTTGGGCTGAGTGGTTGGGATGTCGCGACCAGAGTAGGGGAATGTTGAAAGGTTATTCTGTTGCAGCTTTTGATGCTCAATCGAACTTTTGCTATGAAATTCGCTGAATATCAATATCATGGACCCAAGCCACTCCTTAAGTGATCTGTACTCATGGAATCTGTATAACTTAGTCGATGCATAAACTAGAGAAATAGAAAGAAAATCAGTCATTGCTTCAAAGGAGCGCGATGCAGAAGGTTTAGGTATTGCATGTCAACAAAGAAGAGAAATGGTGTGCCGAAAAGTCAATTTCGCTCATGTCTTCTCCAATGGGAGAAGTTTAAGAATTTGCCGGCAACTCTCAGCATATTTATATACCTTAACTACGCCGCATGCATCACATTCTTCATTTAATAGACGGTCTTGCAGTTAATAAAGAAGAAAAAACGAATTCTAAGCATCGAATTGTTCCTGAGTTGCAAAATATGTACCAAGGAAATACAAACTGAGAAGCCACTGACTTCTCAAGTGTATATGCATTTATATATACAGATATGGGCTGACGTGACGTTTATGTTTCATGACCGGGCATTCAGAACGAACGAAGGAAGAAACTCAATCTAGACAATCTAGACCAACAATATCACTCCTCCGCCCCCCTCTCCCCCCTCCATTTATCCGCCGTGTGCGTATCGGGATAGATTATTCAGTCGAGCATCCTGAAGTCGCTTCTAACTCTAACATTTCGGGAGTCGTTCTAGAGGCACAGTTAGCTCTGTTTTGCCGTTAAGGAGAGAGGGAAGGAAAGTAATCGGGAACATACTGCTAGAGCAACGACTATCCGTGTAATATCCACTGACATAACAGGTAATCCCGTATAGGGTGATTCGATCCCAGGTACTGCAATATCAAAAATCCTTAGTTTTCCTTTGCCCTTTTTTCCATCTTATTTTTTTTTCACTGCAAAACTTACCAATTACCCTTGATACATTGCCCCTTCCTTTTGCAGGAGAAGGTTCGTTTCTGGCCCTTGCTGAAGGCAAAGATGGTGCCGCCCTTCGTGGTCGGGGCGTACCGGCAGTGAACGTATTCGCCTTTGCTGAGATTGACAATCTTGCAGGTTTGTGCTGATCGACGACGCTTCTCTAGATGCATTTCTGGCTCTGCAATGGGGTCCGCGACGGGGACGGCTGCGGCGAGAAAGGGTAGGAACCCGAGGAGGGCGACGAGCAGGCTGAAGAATTTCATTTTTTTGTTGTGTGATATTTAAATTGGGTTTATTTAACTGTTGTAAATAGTCGGTTTTTTCTTTTCTCTGTTTTTTTTTTTCTTCTCGAAAAATGAAATCAAAGGTGTTGATGGGATTCTATTCGGAACCACGCGGTTCACTTTATAGAATCAGGGCGCACACCAAAAAGGATTGCAATCTCGTATTGAGCTTCGCCTGCCATGGTGCTGTTTTTTGCTGTCATGGGCTGAGTAGCGCGATGGACAGTTGTTGCATCTCGTATCCGAGTCCCACTTGAGTCCCCCAGACCACAGACGCAAGGAATTTCCTTGACCCGCTTGCGGCTCAATAATAGGGCTTGGTATGGGGTTCCTCGGGTTCTTTCATGGCGTTCAAAAGGCCGGACACCCTTCGGCTGGGTTGAAAGGTGGAAAATTGGGGCTCGATATGGCCATAGGGGATGGAAGAACTGAATGAACAGTACGGAGTATGTACGGAGTACGCCAAAGGGAATTCTTATTCCTCGACCAGGTCGTTGGGACGAGATGGAACATTTGAGTGCAGGCCTCGGCCTCTTAACTGTTTGATAGTTACTTTCTCCACGAGCAGAAATGATAGCTTGGCTGCCAGTTAGTAGTTAAACCATCCCGGTAAGGCACGCCATAGCCACTGGGCAATGCCATCAATTTTGGCGGGCAAGCAGGGTATAGTTATAGCAGCGACCCCGCACTAAATTTAAGAAATTTCTCCGTCGTTTCCGCTCAACACCATCAACACATCAAAATCATAAAAACAAGACACGAACAGCGTGCACCACACGAACGCAGTTCCGCTTCCCAGGATCCCCCCCCCATCTTCTTGGGGGAAATCGTCGACATTGCCCCAACGTGCCCCCTGGAGTATCCGAGGAGTATCAATCAATCAAGGTGTGAAGCAAAGAGGACCGTTGAAAGAACGTGTTTTGTGTGTTTGGATGCAGAAGAGAGTCCGTTTCGTGAGCCCGTTGTTTTCTGTCTGGGGGGTTGGACTTGCAAATGTCATGGCAGTTTCAAGGCAAGCGAATGGTTTCTGACAGCCTGGCTATGAAATGACAATTGACAATTGACCACGCGGTTGACGGAAACAGACGCATAGGTCCAGCTCCTCTCCATCTACATACGAATCAACGGGGACTTGTAGTAGCATATGCAAGAACTCTCATGAGAGAAAGAGCATCGTCAGCCCTGTTTGTCACTACGCGGGCCGGAGGTATATATGGTTCTCTGTTTGTATTCTACGAGAGGATTGAGAGTTGTTCTAAGCTCGTATCGAGACTTAGATCAAGAATATAGGACATAGGACTTCCAGCGAACGTGTGTTGTTGAGATTCTTTGAACAGACTCTCTCAATCGCAATAACTTTCTGTCTGTCCAAATTATTTCGAAGTCTCTATCAAAATGCTTCCGGCTATTGTTCCTGACCTGCTGGCTATACATTATCTTCTTTGTTAATACGGAGCAATATTGGCCTCACAGTTCAATCTTCTTCCATTTAAATGATCATGACCTGGAATACTCGGTGTTTCGTCATTCAGAAATGCGTACAGTGAATAATGTTATATGACACATAATAAAAGCTCAGTCAGTAAATCGCGATAGCCATCTTAATGTTGAAGCATTTTCATATATCAACATAGAGGGACTGTCCTTTCCTCCCCTTCTCACACAAAGGGACACACAGATCCAGAAAAAAAAAAGGAATGACAAATTCATCAATGAAGTTGTTCTCTGTCAATGCCTCATATATCAACGAAATGTCTTACATGGTGCCGGAACGTAACGGCTGGCGTCCAGACACTCGGTCGAAGGCAGGCAAGAAAACAGCTGCGTTTAACCACATGGCGGCTGTTTGCCCTGAACAATTCTCCCAGCACTGTAAGCAGCAGGGTCCGCTGTCTCCTCAAGCATTCTATCCCTACAAGGCTTGGTAGATAAGTAGCAATCGCTTGCAAAATAACGCCTCAGACAGCGGATTAACCTGAGTGGCCAACTAGTCTCTGTGATTGGTACAGTACTAGGGCTCGCATAGCATAAACTCCCTAGAAATGGGGGAGGCATTTGTTAGCATGCTGTTATGGTGATCTGATCTTGTTTGGGTGGGCAGCGGGGGCCGGCCCTCCCACCCCTTGGCAGTTAAGAGCCCTTTTCCACTTGGCCAGGGCTTGAGTGGATAAACTCGTTGCTGAGATTGATATAGATATCTTGCCCCCCTTCGGTGACTTTGCATTGGATTCTTTCTAGATGCTTCCCGACCAGCGCCGGCCTGGTTAGAAGAGTCTACCTGTTTCACTGTCGTTCTTAGCAAGTAGTCTACATACCGACCGATCTCGCCCCCTTCCTGCCCCAGTTTTAGCATCACGTCATATTTTGGAGATTTTCCTGTCCTGGCGAAAGTGACGAGGTCTCGCTCTTTGTGGCTGTGGGCCTATGTGGTAGAGAGATTGTAATCACTTGTTTAGAAGAGGAGCAAAGAAGGCTACCCATGTTTCGATATATATTGTTATATATCCACATCGAGGTTGAATTAGTCACATGACCATCCATCCTTCTTTCCAGCGTTCCGACTTCTACAGCCACGCGACCGGCGATAGGCCACAACAACAGCAACAAAAAACCCGAAAAACCACACATTTTCCGAGTCCCCTATCCCCATCAATGCCATCATTCCCCCCCCATACCATACCCCAGCGATATCTTTGTTCGTTCTTTACGGCTCCATCCGCATCAGTAAACGGCCCACCTTGGGCTGTCAACCAATCAGCCTCCATAGCTCAATGGTTAGAGCGTGCGGCTTTTAACCGCAAGGCTCCGGGTTCGACCCCCGGTGGTGGCTAACAGGAAGACTGTCGACTCTGCGGTGTGGAGAGTGGGTGCAGTGTAATTTTGCTAGCGGCATGCTGGCAATAGTGACACTTCTTTTTTTCCCTTTTTTTTGTTTCATCCATCCAGCAGCTTCCACGCCACAGGGAACTCAGTCGTGAGGAGGGGCTAGAGTCTTTCTTATCTGCTTGCTTATGTTTTTGGCGTTATCTGCCTCCCCCCTTTTTTTTGCAATAGCTGTTAGTATGTAAGAGGGGGGAAAAAGGTCGGAGAAATAAATCGGACACTTTCCTCCGCAAAGCCAAAACCGAAACCCCAGTACCTGCAGATAAGCACTGTGGATGCAACTTGACCGGGGGGGGTAAAAAAGGGGCTCGAACCCCATGGTGCCCTGCTGTCAAAACGATCTTCCTAAATCGGAATCCCATGGCTGCTGTACTCCGTAAAAGAGCACTGATCGATGGGAATAATGGCAATTGTTGACAACAATACAAATTATACAATTGCCTTCGTCAGGCGTTTTCAGCCCTGCACGGCACAGAGGCGAACTTCTGGTGCACCGCCACACCTGTCACAGTCCGTCCATGCGTTGGTAGGCTTACATTGGCTGACATTAATACTGTGCAGCTGGTGGGAAAACGAAACCGGTGCCGTCATTGATTTAGGGAAATCTAAGACCTGACTCGACTCAGGGATCCGGGGTCTAAGCGTTTTTTTGAAAGTGGCGTCATAGTCAACATCTTGTACTCCGTAAGTTGTGTCATGATATCAAAAAACCATCCGCTTGTTGCCCCTTTGAAAGAACATTTGCAAACTTCAAGACCACGAGAGAAAGTACATGTACAGTACTTGTAGTAGTAACTGGTAGTCCTATCAGGAGGAACCTCGGTAGGGATCCATGGCTTCTTGTGTTTTGGTCCCTCGATTTTGGCCTGTGAGAGAGTTAGTTCCATGGGAATCGGGCACACACACACACATATCTTCGAAAATTGAATTTTTAGTTTTGTTTATTTATTTATATATTCCCCATTCAGTTACTTGTTTATATGGCAGATGTAGAATGAAAAAGGCCTGATAAATATTTACTTGATGATATTGATATTTGCAAGTACTCTGGATGTGTACATACATGTTACCCCGGGCAAGCAAGACATTCTCGGTACTTCTGAGCAACCAACCCGCACTGTGACTGATTGATTACGTCGTTGCAAACACCGCCGGGGATTAGCCGCGCATTGCTCAGCCTCACCACCACCCACCAGATTCATCATCATCACCACACCACACCACCACCATCACGACTCCTGCCACTGCGATCATCGCCATGTCTCCTTTTTCACCCGCACCACCACACAGACCTTCTCACTAGCCTGCGAAATCCGAATCTTACCCGAATCTCTCCCTCACCATCTCCTATTTGCCCCTGATCGCTCCCGTCTGCCATACACCACCAACTATCCCGCCCGTGTTGCCTCGACCTCCACCCACCCTGCGCTCCCGTTCTTATTCCTGTCCTTCTCTCCTGGCACACTTGCATACATTTGTTTAGCAAACGGCGTCTAGCAGTGCAACTAGAACCTGCCCATATCCCCATACCATCGATCTTAGGCTTCTCGAGTTTATACCTTTTCCCCCGCGCCGTGGATACTAGGGGGAGGTGCCGCGTGCCAGTCGTATTCCCACCTACCCTCAATCCATCACCATCATCATGGATACTCTACATATCCGTCGCAAGGATACTACGAAAGGTCCACCACTACGGATTCTGTCACTGGGTATGTTGGTCTCTCTCCTCTCCACTCACAATATGTAATCCAAAAATAAGACTCAAACTCTTGCGCTGGAGAAAACCAATTTACTGACCACGAGAATCCCTTTTTCTAAAAAATATATAGATGGCGGTGGCGTCCGTGGCTACTCCATGCTCATCCTTCTCCAAGAACTCATGCACCGCACCTACGTTGAATGCGAAGGTAAAGCCCCCGCACGCAACCAAATTCCCAAGCCATGCGACCATTTCGACCTTATTGCCGGCACGGGAACCGGCGGACTCATTGCGCTCATGCTTGGTCGGCTCCGGCTGGATCTGGAGACATGCAAGGATGTATACGTGCGCATGACTAGACGAGTCTTCGAAACCGATAAGACCATTGCCGGCATCCCCTATAGGTCAACTCTCTTCAAGGCCTCGAAGCTGGAAGAGGCCATCCGCCAGTGTGTGTGGGAACATACCGTCTCCATGCAGGAGGGAAATGATGGTTCCCCCATGCCTCCGAAACCTGTCTCTATCCATGGCCCAGTACCGCGCCCGCACTCCGCTCACACGCTGCACAGGCGGACCAGTCGGTCAAGCGTCAGTACAACTGGTGCGTCACCAGTTCGGTCGCCAGCGAGTTTGCGGGGGTCTCATGTTCAAAGCTGGGGGAATGCCGATGCGATGCTTTATGATAAGCGGGAAAACAGGACGAAGACGTGGGTTGTCCTTCCTTTTTTCTTTTTTCTTTTTCTTTTTTTCTTTTTCTTTTTTGCCCTTCCTTTTTTGGTCTGTCTGTCTGTAGTAATGTGTGTATATGTATATCTGACTTTCTATTAGTGCGGTCGCGGCTGTTTACAAAGGGACCCCGATGAATGGAACTCCGACTTTGCTACGATCGTACGATTCGCGAAAGGAACCCCCACCCGAATTCAACTGCACGATATGGCAAGCTGGACGGGCAACATCCGCAACAGGACTCGCATTCAAACCTATCCTAGTAGGACAACATGTTTTCATTGACGAGGGTGCTGGTAAATATAATCCCTCGCCAATGATCCTCGACGAAGCAGCCGTCAATGAATGGCCAGGGAGAGAAGTGGGCCTTTTCGTCAGCGTTGGAACGGGTAAACGACCCTCAGGAACAAATCATATCCAACATGAGTGGTGGGAGGATGTTTTCGCCGATTCCCTGGGCAATTTTGCTGAAGCGCGAAGACGGCTGATCGCGAAGATCGAAGGCTGCGAAAAAACACATCAGTACATGCTCAAGGAACATCTCAGAAAACGCAACGTTCCGCTAGACAGTTACGTCCGTCTCAACGTTGAAGTTGGCGTGGGTGAGTTTGGCATGAATGAATGGAATCGCCTGTCGGAAATTAGCACAAGCACCCGGACTTATCTCTCCCGGAACGACGTGCAGAAAATGAATCAGGAGGCGTCCGCCAAGTTGGCCAAGATTCATTTTATTCATCGTAGGCTGGCGGCGGGCGATGGAGGGAGGGACTGGGGCGCTGATTCCAACAGTTTCGAAGAAGGCTTGGAAGATGGAGATGTATTTCAACGGCAATATCATCGACCGGTCCCCCCTATCCCGGTGTCCATGCCGTCACCACACCCCCCGCGCCCTCCACAACCATCGACCATCGAATTCCCAGACGCAGTCGAACTGCCCGGAGAGGATTTTATCCCATTTTCATCCGTGAATAATAACACGAATAATTCAAACCAACCACCCCTCCCAACCTCCAGCTATCCACAAATACACCGCACAAGTTCCCGAGAAAAATACACAATCTTCACCTCCGATGAACATACCCCTCACCCACCCAACTTCAGCCGCAAGACCCCGATCCCGATGCCAACCCCATCCTCGCCCACAACCAACCAACCATCACCCTTCGCCTCCCAGACCCGCCTAAGCAGCAGCGACCATCGGAATCCCAGTAGTCGCCCACAAAGCAGCTACAACAATCATAATAACAGCAATAACCCTTCCACCTCCTCCCCCCGCCTCAGCGCCGAGCTGTTCATAAACCCTCCCCCGCAAGCAGTAACAACAACCCGCCCACCAAGCAGCCACCAAAACCAAACCCAAACCCAACATCCCGTTCGCCTCTCCCATACCCCGCCCCTAAGCCCACCACCCAGCCACC